TAAATTCCAATCGAACTGATTTCGAAATCTTGAGTGAAATCTTTCTGTCCGATGACAACATTGCTGATCTCAAAATCTCAAATTACAGCTCCGCTTATAAATGTAGAAGTGACGGCTATGGAGGTGTTGCCATTTTTGCCAGGAAATGCATCTCCTTGAAACAAATCCCCTTTAAATCAGCCGCTGACATTGTTATAGTCAAAAACTTTTCCCTAAAACCTAATATTGTTATTGCTGGTTGCTATTTCAAACCTAACATCCCTATTCCATCTTTCCGGGATGACTTTAATCGCCTCTGTGATATGCTCGATAGCTTCCACAATTTCATAATTGCAGGAGATTTTAATGCAAGACACTTCGGTGACTCCGTGTCAAATAACAAAGGCAAAGCCTTGCAAGAAACCATTGAAGCCAGTAATTTCTATTGTCTTAATGACAATTCCCCAACCTATGTGCTCTCTACGACCAACAGTTGTGGTAGCGGGTTGGATCTAAGTTTTACTAACGCAACCAATCTTACGTTCAAACGGGAGGTCAAAAAAGAAATTTTTCTGGGAAACAGTCACCACCTTCCTATTCTCTTTAGCGCCACCTTTATTACCTCCTACAAGGTAAATGATTTTATCTCGAGGAAAAAAATTCCTATCTTAAAATTACAATCTTATGCACATGTCTTGAGCCACAGAATGAGCGCTGGATGACCAACTCATTTCTCACTGTTTGGCGGACAATTAAAATAGTGCCCATTCCTAAACCCGGAAAAGATCTTGAAATATTCACTAACGTCAGACCCATATCCCTCTTGCCCGTACTTCTAAATGTTACCATGATCAAAAAAAGACTGACAAATTTCCTGAAGCACTCACACCTGCTCCCGTGAAGGTTTTTGCTTACCAAAACACATCTCCACCGGTATATGCGTTAATGAAGTCTTTTTCACAATTGTAAATGAAAAGGCGAATGGAAACCAGGGGTTATGCTTTGCTTAGACATTAATAAAGCTTATGACTTTTTTAATCTAGGGAAACTAGACCAAATTCTAACTGATTTTAAAATCACGACACAATGTAGGCAATGGGTTCTCAACTTTCTTTCCTCGCGAACTCTCGCATCAGATTCATCTACAGTCGAAGGCTGTGGAGGTTTACCTCAAGGTAGCTGTCTCAGCCTTTTGTCTTTTCAATCTACACACAGCCGGCTTACATCGATTACAGAACAATACAACCCATTTATTTCAATATGCTGACGATTTCCTCATCATGTCTGCTGGAAAATCACTAATGGAAGCAGTCCGTAACCTCGACATTAAAGGCAATCTTTTTCACAGACTTTGTGCAGACTTAAATCGAACATTAAACCCGGAAAAATCAAAAGTTATCCGCTTTGCTAAGGGTCCCAAAAAAATTTATTACATTACAATCAATGGTATAAAAATCAGTCCGTCTTCCTCTTTTAAATTTTTGGGCAGAATTATCAACTCAAGTTTAACCATGCATGAGCATTACAGGGATAGCCTCGAAAATTGCAACACAGGCTCAAATGTCATCAAACTTCTGACCAACATTCACACCGGACCCACACCTAGGAAAGCTTTATACGTTTACAAATCTATTGTTAGATTCAAAATGGAATATTGTTACTCTACATCGTGCAATGCTCCTGCGTAAACATTAAAAAAAAAAAACAAACCTTTCAACACTCAATCCTACGACGTTGTACCGATTTGTCCCCCTCAACACCAACATCAATTTTACGTTCCATCTCTTATGAACTCCCCGTTGCTAAGAGAATTTATCTTGTAACTGCAAAAGAACTTCTCAAGGTAAAAATCTTCAAATCTGCCTTCTTTGACGAGGTCGCTTCCAGACACAATCACGTCATCACTAGTTACTCTAACTGCTTCAAAAAATTCAGTAACATCTTCAATAAAGTTAACTTAATACCCTCCTGGAATAATATTATTCATGATAAATGCATAGTTGAATTAAACTTACTTAACTCGATTACCAACTCAAAAAAAAATCGATCAGGGTCTTGTCTTCGAATTGCTTGTCTGCAAAAACTTAACCACTTCGTGGAAAACTTACTTATAGGAAAATTCAAAGTTCTACAAGAACTAACATCTACGTTCATTGAACTTCTGGCCATCAGACAGGCAATCCTCCTTTCATCTGAAAATAAACTGAAAAAATTTGTAGTTTTTTCTGACAGCAAATCGGCTCTGACTTTAATCAAGAACAAAGACCCATAGAATATGTACGTCTTCGATATTTACAACCTTTTAAAATACCCAAGCATTGAAAAATGCCACATCATGTGGATCCCAGGTCACAGCGGTTTTAGTATCAATGAAAAAGCTGACTTCCATGCACGTGAAGCTCGGTTTGATGTTACGGTTTTGTCCATAAACTACCCCCAGCGAAGCTCTCCTATTAATCAAAAAACTTATCGTAAAAGAATGGAAAGCCAAGTATCATGTTTTAGCTAGAGGAAAGACTGATCGGCTTTTCTACAAAATTTACCCTTTTGTGACACCCACACTTCTACCTAAAGGAAAATTTAGAACATGGGAATTTAAAGTTCTTTACCGTTTATAAGTAATCACACCTACGACAAGGTATATTTTAAAATGATCAAAGTCTCCTCCAATGACATTTGTGAAGAATGCAATATGACTGAGCTGCCGAGCACCTTATTTTTGAGTGCAGGAGGTTTGACATCCTTAGACAGTCTTTCAGTATATTTAGCTGGTATAACAATTCATATGAAATTTTTCGTGCTGGTAACTTTAGGCATTTGAAGCAACTGACTGCCTTTATCCATTTCCGCTTCTTCATATTAATCTACTTACTTATCAAACTACTCGACATGCGCCCATTATAATAATAATTATTAAATATATAAAAACAATATGGGTATCGCAAAATTTTTGATATAAAAAATTCTTCAATGAAATTAATTTGGTGACCTTCAAAACAGTTCTAATCGATAGCTGACTATCAGAACTTGTTTCGACATCCATGAAAACAGCTTATATTGAACTATGACCTTCCAACTCTTCTGCGAATTTTCCATCCAACTTTCAATTAACCCACATCGCGAGCACAATGCTTATTGATCGCCATTTCTGTTTATCCCATGCAAAAACATCCAATATAAGTGCGAGAAGCAGCATTTTAGTTTTATTGGCTGGTTTGCCGTCCGTAGTCGTTGCAGGTCGACCTAGAACCTTAACGATTATTGCTCAGACATCAGCCTGATATATAGAGAGCTGCAAGAACTAGGTCGATATGGCTTTAATCAAGTTGGGACAAATTCAATATACCAAAGCATTCAAGGTTCACTTTTCCCGCCAAAACCTGTTTGCTAACGTAACATTAGCTTTACGACACTACAATAAATCGAATACTATTACAAATTAAATCGAGTGCACGCCGTAAATTACCTTCTCCGATTATACTTAATACTTAATGTGACGTTTGCATTTTCGTCCTTCGCCTGAGATTATAGATTTACTGAAACTCATTGGTTACATCCCAAATTTTACGTGTAATCTGGTGTGTATAAATACTGGAAATGAAATTGAATCTTAAGGAAAGTTAGAACAATACTTAGTTATCTTATTGGGCCTCATAAAAAAAATATTGCCCTTTCTAAAAAACCATTTTCTTTAATCCAAAACTAAGCCGACAGAGCCTGTCTTGCGAGTCTTTCAAGTTGCTTTTTATTTTGGTTTAAGAATATATTTCGCTAGTCTAAAAAAAATATATAATAAAAATAATAATAATGCTTTAAAGCGCATTTATAGTAAAAGCTGGGCTTGCATGGATGCACAATTTACATGAACGCTCTAAATAGGTGGGATAAAATTCAATGAAATGCAAAGACAGTCAATATAATTATATAATTATTTCTCTGAATAATCCAGAACGAACAACCAGATTGCCAACATCTGAGAGTAAGCGTTTATGATTCTCAATAATTTGTCTGAAAATTGCCAACATCTGAGAGTAAGCGTTTATGATTGTTTACACTTCTCAATAATTGAAAATGTATTTGCCTGCCTTTGAAATTTAAACTTCCACTTTCATTATAAGTTATGGCTGCACCTGTCCCGAGTATTTATAACCTGCCAAAAATTCCCCATTTTCTGTAGGCGTGCACTGTACTAGAATCAGTATCGCATCAATGAAAAAATGAAAATCAATCTAACAAAAATTCATGGACCACCCATGCTTGTTTCTCCTACAAACTAATAAGTACATCCACCGCGTTTTCTCCCCTCTTTTTCCACATATGCATGGATGCATTCCGCAAAAATAACCAAAAAAGTGAATCGGCTATAAATTCAATTTTTCCTGTGTCATTGTCACTCTTGCTTTGCAGGCCTTTTCTTATCATTGCCGACTGTCCTCGTAAAAAACTTTATCCTTGTAACCACTAGCCACTTTTGAATTATTCAATTTTTTATAGAGACTCGCTTAAGTTTGATTGAATTCCCCTTCTCTTTTTCATCTTTTTCGCCATTACATGCATTATATATTATGATAAGAGATGAACATCCTTTTGCTCCAAATAACTTTTTATTTTTTATTACGGAGCAACATTTTCAAACAAGAAAATAAGAAAGAAAAAACAAAAGTACGTTGAAAACATGGACGTTCACTTATCTTCTTCTGATTACTTTAAATAACACATACAAAATCGTAAATGATATTTATGATGATTTACTCAGCTTAATACCTCATTAACATGATAAGGGTTTTAATATAGGAATTAATCGTACCAGACCAACCAACTTTAAAAGCGCGAATAGCAAGACGGCTCAGTCAGTTTTCTTCCAAGCCAAGCAGTGTATAAACGCATCTCTAGACAAGGCAAACAATAAATATTATAATAAAAGAACAATTAGGCAAAAATCCAAAATTTTTGCAATTTTTTCTTATAAAATAATTTGTCAAAGCTTTAAAATAAAATATATTTAAAATAATTAATAATAGAAAAAAAATATGCCGCCAAATGAATACACTGCTCTTATAAACAATCGTTACGAGTCTACGTGCACCACGTTCGATAATTGCAACGATCGTCAACATACTGTGCAAATAAAAGATATAACGGAATATGAGTCTATATTTAAATTCGATGAGTAATTACATAATCATTATATGAAAGAAGTAGTGTTTTTCATTCGAACTTTCGCTTTATTTTTAAGATTCCCTTCGTCGCTCACTCTGGATGAGTTGTTAGTGTTCAAAGAAGATCCGTTTTGGCAGAAAATGCATTTTATTCTTTTTTATGCATTTTGGTTGACATTAATTATAACATTTCTTATCGCTTGCCTAATAACGTATTTGGAATTTGATTTCAACACTTGTAACGCTATACATATAAGTGGCAGCCCATCTACGCCAATTTCAACAAGTTTCAATGGCGATCGTAGTATTTTAAGTGACTTACCTTTGCTAACTGTTCACTAGACTTTATCATTACATCGAATACGTCTTCATAGGTAAGAACGTAGTAGGAAGTTAAGACAGGTTTGAAAAAAAGCTGATATTAATGACGCTATATTATTTGAAGTTATTTAGTTTTTTTACTTATTGGAATAATGTTTTATTTGCTATTTTACATTTTAATATGTATTTCCTAGTAGTATAAAATAGTAAAATAAATTTTTATGGTTGACAATGTACTAGGTTTAACGAGCGACCAAAAAAACTCAATATTAATGCGACTCACTGTACGTGGCCGGACTGAGAAAGAATCGCAAATTTGTTTATCGGTCAAAATGTATTTATTTGTTTACTAAGCTATTTTAAGTGAGATGCATGCACGCACGCACAAGGAACTTATCAAGGAACTTCATTCCTTGATAATATTCAATATATTCACAAAGTGTTTGAGTGATTGCTGTTTTTTTGCTATTCTCGAATCTGCAACATTATCAGCTTTATATGGACCAAATACTCGGCTGATGTAATTGTCTCATCGTATTGCAGCATGTGCGTGTATTTTTTTTATTAATGTATATGAAGATTGAAAATGACGAATCTATTTCACTGATGACAGCTATCTCTCTAGCGCACATAGTTTACAAAAATGGAAGAGATTAAACTTATTCTCCTTATACTATAGGAAATTGCTTTCTAAAATATGTAAACATTATATGGCTACAAAACGCTACAAATTTTGAACCATCATTTAGTGCGTCAAAATACTATTCTTCATTCAGCTTAAGTTTTAAAATTTCAAAAAGTTTAGTTGTACGTTTACAATTTCATTTAAAATGTGCAAGTTTCCTTAATATATATATATATAGTTGAGTTATAACTCAAATGCAATAATTCAAAAACAAAAAGGAATTCAAAAGAAATATATATATATTTCATTTTGAAGTACACTTATAAGAATAACATAAGTATGAATGCCCAAAAAGTCCCAAAGATTTTTGCTCTTGCTTTCAAAACTTCCGAAAGACGTAAGTAATAGTAAGTAAGAGACAGCACTGCGTGGTAACGATAAAAAGTACTACGTAATACGGTAATAGGTAACTAGCAGTTGTAATATGCAGAAAAAATCCACACTTATTAAATAATATTAAAAGGTAGATGGTAGGTGCTAAGCAATAAGTGGTAATAGCATAAATAATCAGTAGCAAGTTATACACAGTAGGTAGTAACACATCACTCGATGAATAACAAACAGTTGATGGAAAATGGTAAGGGACAAGTTTATGTAGAGTTTAAAGATTATCTCAAGTATTTACTTTCGCGGATAAAAACAATGCCGCTACTACCAAACAAAGGAGCGTTTACCGTTTACATTAGTGTTTTTGTCGCATTCGGTATGGAATTCGCATATAAACGCTACATAAACCCCTCTAATATATAGCAATAGGCAGCAGAAAGAATTAATTCGTGAATTCAGTGACGCATTATTTATTAGATTTAGAAATAAATAGCGTGGGCTCGGGCGATCAGTTTACATAATGTGAAGTCATAATAACTGTGATATCTGACCTAAATTAGCAAGTGGTACATTTGATGACGTATATTCAGCGGGCGGAAACGATTCCAAAATTTTGGTAGGTCTTAAACACAACATAGAATATATAATACGTCGTAAAATAGAGATACAATACCGTTTTTTTTATCCTAATGTTTTACGTTTAAATAACGTTTTCCATTATTAAATTTAGTTCTACTTGATTTTGGAGTACGGGCCCATTAAAAGCAATTTTAGAGGTACCATCGAATTTACTCTTTATATATAGAGGAGGTGCTCTTACAAATGCAGTATAAAATTATATATTAAATCACTAATATGTGGTCATTCTGATCACAAAAGGGAAAATTTTCCTATAATGGCTTTTAAAAGAGGATGTTGCTGGGAGAGCGGAGGGAATGGTTTGATCCAAACCATTTTCAGGTTGATTCGTATTTAAGCTAAAGGGTTTCAACAAGTGCAAATTTCTTTAAGATATGTCGAATATTGCAACCTGTAAAGCACAGACAGATATATAGGCACCCTCAAGTCGGTTTAGAAGACAGTTCTAAGCCAATTCGTTTAAAAAGAAGTGGATCTAGCCCAAAAATTTTTCCCACCAGCGACAATAAGGTATAAAAAAAGATTTTATAATTATATTATATAAATTTAATTTCTCATTTCTATAGTTGATCAAAATTATTATGTCATTCATGTGTCAGATTTATTTAATTTATTTCTAAAACATAAGCCCTAACATCTTCCTAAATTAAAAGTAAAAAAAAATTGTTAGATAAGTCAGATTATCTTAAATTTAGAAAAAAAAAAATTTCCAATTTTGCAAAAGCGTAGGTTTTGGATAACATCGTCCTAAATCTGAAAATATGAAATTTTCCTTTTTCGCCAAAAATGCTATTTTCGGGGTTCACTTGTAAGGAAGCGTTGTGCTTGTCTACCCTTAGGCTCCAAAAGCATTCAGTCTGTTTTTCTCTTCCCCACTAAAGACCAAATATCCCCTGGTTGACCATTCCCTTACATACTAACTCTTGGATACGAGTATCTTCCTCTACGCTACAGTGAGATCATCTCATTTTTCATCATTTTTCATCTCTCTCCCGCACAAACCATCGGTAATTTAGGTTCATGTAAGAAGGGAAATATATATAAAGAAGAAAGAAAAAAAAGAAGAAAAGCTCATTGCAACAGGACTATGCAACATACGTTGCATAACCGAATCCGAAAAATTTTGCCTAGCAATAATTTATGTATAAGTAATACACATATAAGCAATATATATAAGTATAACCATGCCTTATCTTTTCCTGGGGAAACATGTCATAAATGCTCTCAATGGACAAGTTGCAACGCGCTGGGCAACATGCCTATAGACCAAAATGAGCGCACTTCGAATTTGGTCAAAAAAAAAAAAAGAAGTAAATGAGCGAACTTCGATTTTGGTCAAAAAAAAAAAAAAGAAGTAAATGAGCGAACTTCGAATTTGGTCAAAAAAGGAGAAGTAAATGAGTGAACTTCGAATTTGGTCAAAAAAAAAAAGAAGTAAATGAGCTAACTTCGAATTTGGTCAAAAAAGGAGAAGTAAATGAGTGAACTTCGAATTTGGTCAAAAAAAAGAAGAAGTAAAAGAGCGAACTTCGAATTTGGTTAAAAAAAAAAAAGAAGTAAATGAGCGAACTTCGAATTTGGTCAAAAA